CCTGCGTATCATCCGTCCTCTTTTTGTACATTTAAAGGGATGGTCTGCAAACTCTTGATTGTATCAAATGGTAGTAAGGTTCACGTGAGTAGAATCCTGAATACATAACAGCACCAAGTGCAACTACATATATTGCAAAATTTCATATTCTAAGCTCTAGGATAAGTTTGATAGAGTGCTCAATCATGTATGCATCAAGTTTAGTCACGCGTTTTGAAGCCGAGAAAATCCGAAAGCCTAAATAATCAAAAAAAAGAACTTTATACAATCATATTTTACGGATCTTTTTTTTCGCTTAGTATATGCATTCCATATAAAATTCATATATCTACAATTGCTAATCTCCTTCGGCTAGAAATCCAAAAAAAAAGTTTTTGTGATCTTGTTAAAGCAGTGGTAAGAGACACTTTTGCTTGTACATTACAAGACTTTGTGAAGTCTCAAATCTTCTCTTACGTTGTAAATGTCTTGTTACACTTCAACTTCTTACCGCGATAAGTCGTACACATCATGGTTTTATAATAATAGGGCTCGAGGATACCATTCGATGAAGCAAAGCAAGCTCTACAAGGCAGTGTGCAAAAGGTTCGCACAAGCTTCGACTCACCATAAGTTTCCGTCCAGAATCTGAGTTGCACTGAAGGCTCAAAAAATTGGGAAAAATTCATATCTTTGTTCAAAAAAATTCCACGGATCTCCAGCTTGCCCACACAAATGCACGCCACATCAGACACTCATATGTATCGTTGCTGTATTTCTTTTTTTTTATCTAGAAACAGAGAAAATCTCTTGTGCGTATAAAGAAATGAAGCTATGCTGTTTACTCAAGTAATTGTACTGTACAAGACCTCAGAAGTGTGACCGTAAATTTTCAGCTTTCCACAGGCCCTACTTACATGGATGCATGGCCCGGCTTTACGTGACGTGCGGGCCCCAGCACAAAATCCATTTCTCCCTGTCCCTCGCTTCGGAAATCCATAATCTTCTTGGCTGACGTCAGTGGCTGCGTCCACGAGTTCCAAGTGCAAAAATCGTAGATATCTAGCTGATTTCTCAGCTGATCCATCCGTTCCACGAACACGTCTGTCCATGTCGTTGGAGGGTTCCTTGCTAAAATCAATATTTCTTGAAAACTAGGGCTTGCGCAAAGCTGAAAAAATTACGGTTGTACTTCTGGGCTTGTAGTACACAATTACATGAATGGAAACAGCATAGCTTCGTTTCTGTATAAGCATAAAAATTTTCGTTTTCGCGACTTATAGATGAGTAAAAAATACAGCAACGTGTACAAACAGGTACATACAAGTGTATTATGCAGTGTGCAGTTTGTGTAAGCAAGTTGGAAAACTGTAGGGCATTTTTGAACGAAGATATGATTTATTCCCAGGTTTTTGAGCCTTCAGTACGATTCAGATTCTTGGTGCGAACTTAGGGTGGGTCGAAGGCGATGCGAACATTTCACTGCCGTCTAGAACTTGCTCTGCTCTATCGAATGGTACTCTTGAGCCCTATCAAAATCATGGTTTGTGTCACCTATCGCGGTAATAAGTAGTGTAACAAGACTGAAGTCACAATCTAATAGAAGAGCTAATCTTTGCGAAATATCAAATTCAGCACTTCTTACTTAGGCTTGTGGTACCAAATTCAATATTTATGTAAGACTAACTCTTGTGGAAGGCTGAAAACTCACGGTTTCACTTCAAGAGGCTTGTATCATATGATTATTAGTGTGAAAACAGTCCAGCATTGCTGCGAAGCATGAAAAATTTCCATTTTTCCACCTAGTAGAGAAAAGATTACACGTGTATATGAAAGCCTTGTGTGAATTTATGCTCATGTGAGAGATGCGTAAGATTTTTGAACGTAGTTTCGAGTTTTTCTCAATATTTGGGCACGATCTTTCCAGCTATTGGCTCAAAACTTCGCTTGGATTAGACTTGATGCAATGTTCAGACATCAGCTTGTAAAGCCTACATTGCTCTATCGAAGTACCCGGAGCCTATCTATAAGAAATGATTTGATGAAGTATAAATGCACGCTAGTGGAAGGCTTATGTATCAATCTAATGCCATCTAGCTGCCTCATGAATGGGTTATTTGGGTTGTAGCTTTTTTGCTCAGATAAGCTAATTCGCTACACCGAGCCTATAAATCCTCTTGGATAGTGAGTAAATGGCGAAAACAAACTCTTCTCAAAGCCTTCCAATTTTTATCTAAGGGTGAGATATTGCCCGCCAACACTAACTGTATGTCCAGAACCCGCGACCAGCGATGCCAACGGTTAGTCGCGATTTCGTCACTCTGATCATGAAGTTCCCCGGCAACGGTATCGCGACGATGAAATCGATCGCTGCACGTATACAGCCTGTGGCAACCACGTAATCCCTTTTTCATCCGCGCAGTCGCCACGCTAAAGTTTCCCGCCGCATTCGCGCTCGTATGTTTGGGGCAGTCAAGTTGGTCTTATCGATTGGAGGTCCGCACGCAAAGCCCATGCGTTGCGCACGCACTGTTCTCACGCGAAAGGGAGTACGTAATTGATACAGACCGTAGCTAGCGCTTAATGTATACATCCACTTCAGGTCAATCAACCGTTACATAATGACTAGTGCTTAAACCTGTGTGCACACGATTTGAACTTGTCAAAACTCAATTGCACGAAAATATTAGGTTGATTCATAATTAAGGCACGTTTTTCGAAATTCATCTTCAAAGCGTCGTAATTCTTTTCCCAAATCATCTTTTCAAGAGCTATAAGGACTGTTGCAAAGAGCAAATATCTGGCTTTACAGTACATGCTCTTGTTTGTATATAAATGTGACGACAAAGTTTGTACAATCCGCAAAATGCCAGGAATTTTTTTTAAGAACCTCTATTTTGAGAAAGCATAACTTGCTTTCAAAGTAGTAGGAAAACGCAGACTGCTCATCGCGTAACCAATGGTCAAGAGAGCAGTGGCAAAAAACCCGGATTTCACATTTTTTTTACGACGAGATACTGGAAAAGTTCAAAAGTGATAACTTCTCCTAGCTTTTCAAAAGAGTGAAAAAATTGTCTTTTTTGAAGATTTTCAAATTTTTCGTTATTGAAAAGCTGTAAAATCTCACCGTTTTTCTAGCACTCAATATGCTATGGCTATTCCTTGTGTACAAAGCAAAATCGCAAAAATTGGTTCTTGTTTCAAAGTTTAATACGATTTCGAAAGGCCCCAGTGACCGGTCAAGTTTGTGATTTAATCTTTCATCTCAGAACTTCTGCAAAATTTGGTTTTACAGAGAATTCTATTGCAGAAAGCTTCGCAATTGTTAAGCGTATTTTTTGAAATCAGCATCTTTTGTTCTCATAGAATTAGAGCAAAAAGAATAAAAGGGAAGATTTTCAAGTTTTAGTCCCTCATATTCTAAAGCGTGGAATTTGATATCACACAAAGCGCTACCAAAAAGAAAGGATGCACGAGAAACTAGAAGAAACGCTCTTTCAGATAGCTTCGCAATTTTTCGGAAAGAATCAGTTTCCTTGAAAAACCAGCGCTTGGAAAAAGAGGTGACAAAAACGTGCATTAGTTATGAATCAACCTAATATAAACAATCGCTTTGTTTACAACGAATATACAATATTGAGCCACCAAATTTGGTCTGTACGCGGCAATGATTGTATGTGAACGAGAAGAGTTGTGAGTGCTTTTCGATTTAGGTTGCTCAGTCGCAACTTGGGAGCACCCTGAGGTTGCGCGGGACCAAATAAAATCATGAGTTTTCACAATTCTCCCCTTCCTCACATAAACTTCCAATTTTTTTACGCAATTCTATTGTTTGGATCAAGTCCTACCTATGAGTATTCGCCTTTGCCAAAGTTCGTCTCCTATGCTTTGTTATGACTCTTGATGATATAACAGCCTTCTTAGCATTTCGCGTCTTGATCTTTGATTTTCTGTCTTCTTGTCTTTTCTTCACTTTAATCTGCTTTTTTCCTGCAGATTATTACAAGGGTTTCTACAATACAAAAGGTAAAGGTCAGTCATGAAATTGTGACGATAGGTATTACTGCGCTCTTTGCGCCCACAGGAGCATAAAACATCTTACATAAAGGTATCCACCTCATTGCTCAGCTCAGTCACTTCCAGTTTCCAAATACTATCATCCGCAAGCAGAAAACCATTCGAGTAGAGATGGCAAACAGAAAATGCCGTTGCCGGAAGTGCATGCGTGTCGCGCGGAGTCGCAGCATCGTCACAATTTTTCGAATGTCAATCAGCTAGTGGTTGAAAAACTGTTTTATCGATTGCGAACGCCCTAGGGTGGATCGGCCGGTGCACCATACAAAAAAAGCTGAGCTAGTCAGCATCAGCATGTGCAGGTAGGGCGAGGAAGATACGATTTGTGTAGGATTGCGTGTGTACGCAAATGGCAGGGGCTCGCACAAATGCACAAATTTCTTAACTAATGCATCACTATTTGTCTTCTCCTCTTTACTAAATTTTGAGTCCGCTGTCATCTGCCATCTTATTTTCACTCCTGTTTCTGAGAGCAGGAAATGGATGTGAGCGCCAAGCCGCCTTTGTCAAATCGTTCTCTTCTTTCATTATATTTCATATCACCTATCCTATGATGCGCTCCCAGATTTTCTTCACCTTTGGGCAGTCCACTTATGTGATGCCACAAGTCGCAGATTCGTGCTCCAGAACAGAAGCCGCGCGCCGCAAAGCGCAGTGCAATGGTTCAAACTCAATTCGCAGCCTTCCCTCAATCTTCTTCGAAGTTGGCTTGCATACATAATCTTACTCGCTCTGTTCCTTATGATTCATCTTATGATGTAAATGACTCTTATCGAATTCTTTCTCATGGACCTTTTTACACATGTTGATGGAAGAAACAAGTGTGCATTCGTCCAATAATGCTCGTTTGCTAGTTCTTTCGCTACCTCTTTAGACTTCCTGTTGATTATCTTATTGTCATTGTTACGACAACGTGGGTAGGGGACAGACTACATTTTCAAGCTCCATCAAGCTTTTTAGGTTTTAAGCGATGGTCACGAACGTGTACGTTTCGGCCGTAACCCAGGATAACATCTCTCGCCATGAACTTCTTGCTTGGGTGAATAGCACTATCAAAGTGAGTTTCCTTTACTAATTGCGATTTTGATTCATATTCGAGTTGATTCAAATTTGAGAGTCCTGCCTCTTATTCCACTGAAAGGAACGAAATTGCTTCGCGGCGCTGAAAAGTCTCTATTTATTGTTCTTTTATTTGTTCTCGTCTGTACTAGCGGTACGGTCTCCCAGTTGTGATAGATACTTTTCTGATCATATCAAGAACAAGATGCGCTACATTCTAGCTAGAGATGCTGTAGCTTACGCGTACAGCAACATCATAGTCTTGTTAAAAGGCGGCAGGCTATTGAAAAAGCTGTGGAGGTGTGCGCAAATTTGATGACTTTTACTTACAGGCTAATTTCTCAAAGATCGAGGAAATGAGCACGGGTGCGGCCTACTGTCAGCTTACTCACTTGCTTTTTCGCGACTCCATCAATCTGCGCAAGGTTTGTAAGCGATTGTTACTTTTCGTCAAAGTTCTGAGTATACTTTTTAGGTGAAGTGGAATAGTCGTAACGAAATGGACCATATCAATAATTGGAAAATACTAGGTACAGCATGGAAAGCGCTTGGAGTGGATAAGGTATCTGGGTTTAGTCTCATGTTGATTGCTTCGTATATGGTATTGTAGCAAGAAAGTTGTAATAGACTGATGGCAAATTGTTCCTGTGGCTGAGTTTTTTCGCTGTTTGCACACCAGCTGGCGCAGTAGGCTTTTTTCCAAAATAAATGTTTGATCAAATTTACACTAAAGCTAACTAAGCGGAGCAAGGCCTTTGAAAAAAGTTTCCCTAGGATTCAAATTTTCACACAATTTCAGAAGTTATCTCAATCATTTACTTATGAAAATAAGTCATTCGCGCAATTTCATAACTCCTGTAAATAATTTAGGGGAATCTCAAGGCTCTCGTATAGGTCTTGCAGCTTAGCAAATTCGTTTTTAGGGGTTGCCGTATTATATCATGCCAAGTCATCGAAGAGAATGAGTCATTGCTAATGAAAAGTTGCCTTCGCTGAACATGTGTTGAAATATAATGCAAATTTTTTGCAGTAGCTAAAAGTTGATACAGTCAAGCATGCAAAAACGAGCTAAATGTTCGATCTTTGAACGGCTATGATTTTGCTCTGCGTCTATCTGCTACAGTACGTGCAATTTTACGATGCCTTTTCATCTCGTGATTGTAGTCGCCATAGTTTTTACCATGCTTGGATTTTTGTGAGATAAAAGTTTGATTTCGTATTGTAACATTTTTTGTCATGTTCATTTTTCAGCCCGTTCCCGTAGAAAAACTGACAAAAGCGAAATTTCAAGACAATTTCGAGTTTCTCCAATGGTTTTTCAAGTTCTTCAACGCGAATTACGTTGATGAAGGAGAGGAATATGACGCAGTATCTGCTCGTGGTGGTGAGGTGAGTTTTGCGTTCAAGGTGAAATGATGGCGTCATATGAAGCACTAGCAATGAATGCAGTTTATAATTTTTTTCGCATATTTATTGCTTGCGGAAGTTTTTTGCGCCAATACGATGAAGAGTTGTATAAGGAACTAACCTACGCAGCTTTGTGATGCTACCTATGCAGGCATTACTCAGACCAGTCCATTTCTGGAAGGTACAACATTTGCTGGCCATCAAGTCGAGCACTCTTTGCATATAGATAAGGAATTCTGAATTTCGCTATTTCGAATAGAAAGCCATGAAATAAAACGAGAACTAGATATTACATCTCAAAAGGAAGAACTCGGTGAAGATTTTTTTTGAGTTTTTCGTTATCAATTTGCCATTACATGTGTTATAGAGTTCTCGGTCAAAAATACCAAACAAGTGATAACATGTCAGTTTCCTTGTTACGTGGCCAATCGTTTGCTTATCGTTTGAGCTTGCATTTCTGAAACAACATTTCATTTGGCGTGCAGGCGCGAGAACTTCTCTCGAAATGCGTTGTCACACTAACGAAGTAACGTTTTTTATTATTATCATGTGCATACATCTCTCAACCGCAGTTTTGAATAGTGAAAGTTTTCTTTACTGTTCTGTTTTTTTTTCTGGCTGTTCTGTTTTACTTATATTTCAAAGTTCAGTTACTCTCCCTATCATTCAGTCCCGATCATGAACTGCCTAGGTTGATAGAATTCGTTTGCATGGGTTATCAAATATTATAAACCAGTGCGTCACCTCTGCTTCGCAGAGGCTCGCACTGGCCCTATGCTCTGTATGCCTTACTCATTCCCGCATAATAATGACATTGAAACTCACCGCGCTATGTAGGCTATCTCGAATAATTCGTAAACAACTACTCATTCGTAGAGGTCTTCCATGTGAGATCGGTATTTTCGCGTGGATAAAATCTTTCCCAGAAGAAGAGATGCAAATTCGAATGGGATTTTGGAATTTTTATGGCTTGGTAGTCGCCGTAAGGACAATAGACATAGTGGGTTACACCTCTGTGCAAAATTCTTCTCAAATAATCAGGTAAAATCTTGAATATTTGACCGTTTACACAGCGAATGCTTTTTGGCGCTGTTTTCGTAAAGTAGTAGACTTTTCATGACTTTTTTAGGCTAACGTCCATGGCTTGCACATTAGCTTGTCGAATATATCCTTAACTCTGCAAAAAGTAGTACTACGGACCCAAATTTACTGGCGAGAAGCCAAGTGGATCCGTTTGACGCGCAATTTTCAGTGGATCCACTCAACGGATCCGCTCATGCTTTTGTATATTGAGGTTTCATGCTGGTAGCGTGCGCTGTGCAAAATTTGGGCTCAGGACGTTGGCTGGAACACGCTCTACGAATTTCGTGACAGACAGAGATTCACACACACAGACAGACAAACGGGGGGCGTATCGTTACGTGCGGGCTGCCAATTGGGAAACGTCGCGCGACAGGCTGCCAGTAACCAGACTCGGAGAATTCAACCAGTATGATCCGTAGCACATAGTTTTTCAGTTTCTCATTCTCTGTTGAGGCTCACAGACTATTCTCATATCAGTTTTGCTTAATTATTTGAAGTTCTGCCAAAAAGTTGTAAAATGAGCTCTTTAAAGGACAAAAAAGACACAAATTGAAGAAGGTAGAAAACTAACAATATAGAAGAAGCATTGGTAATCTAGTGGTATAAATCTTACAAGTTCTCTGCACTACTGCTTCCCGCGCGCGGTTACTGTAACGCCGCATTGCGACATTTTCCATTTGGCAGCCCGCACGTAACGAGCGCCCCCCAGACAAACGTAAACAACCCTTAGCCCGTTATTATAAGTTATGATGATTTTGGACACCAATTTTTGTACAGAATGAGTTCATGCTATCATGTGCTTGAATTGATCACATTGAAGAGATCAAAAATTCTGCATTCACCGCTTGTGATGTTGCCATCGGCTTTCTTTCAGCCCTTACCAGCCGGGGCCAAGGGTCCTGCTCCTACTCGTGTCCAACCAACTCGAGCGACGCCCAGCACCGTCACACGAACTGTCGTTCCTGGTGTACCTGCTGCCGTCGTTTCGCGGACGGTTGTTCCTGGTGTGCCCGAAGCGAAAAAAGGTGTTTATTTGATGTTTTTCCACCTGTGATAGCTTTTAGAATTCGTTTCTGTTTGCATAGCATTTTTTTTTCAGCATCACCGACTTACGCTCCGGCATCTCGCAATTCTACCGCAAATCAGATCGATGCTTCTGCTTTGAAAGAATTACAACAGCAGAACAAAAAGCTAACTGAGGAGATTGAAGAGGCATCTTTTGCATAGTCTGCTTGCGGTTGTTTCCATATTTGTCTTCATGTACACATGCAGCACATTTCCCCCCCCCCTCCTTGTTTGTGAGGAAGCGCACATTTTGCTTTTGGACTTTGACTATCATATGAAATCAAATTTTAGGAGGGTGAGGATGTCGTTTTGCATTTTATTGGCGCTCAAACGCTTCAACCATGTCTTCCACATATCACTTTCTGAAATTCGCATTCTTGAGTTTTCGCAGAATAATTTTCAACGTAACTTAGAGACAAAACCATTTACCTATAATTAACAACTGTGCCAGGCTTCAGGATGGTTGTAGTCATGAATGACAATTACGCGCACATATGTCACCTTTTCATGAATTTAACGACTATTCTGTGAGAAGTGAGTGGAATCATGTCCTCACACCTCCCACTCACCGCGTCTGCCATTTTGACATGTTATAATCTTGCCACACTGTTACAAATTTTTGACTTCTCTGAGGAATCAGTGGTGTTTGCCGAACAGTTCAACTTTTTGTAATCAGTCACTACATGGCAATCATCTATACTTAAAATTCTTCTGATTCTCACGTTGTTGATTCAGATGAGAAGTATTTGCGAAACTTTGGAGAACGAACGGGACTTCTACTTTGAGAAGTTGAAAAGAGTAGAGGATATGTGCAACTCATGTGCAGATGGTGAGAATCCCGACAAGGAGGCGATTTTATCCGTTCTCTATGAAGCAAATGTAAGTTACGCAGTCATCGAGTCATCTTTTTCTACTAAGGTTAAGTATTCGGATTTGTTTTCCGATTCATACCATATATGACTTGAAAAGACAATAATTGATTTTATGTGCGGAAAAGATGATGAGATCGCTTTTGATGAGTTTTGTTTGAACCAATGTACTTTCTTCAGGGTGAATGCGAAGAAGACAAAGCTGCCCAAGCGGCTGCAGTTGCTGACGATGACGAAACCTTCTAGGTTTCACGATGTTCTCCTCGTCATTTCCATCTTTTAGGGCGGCACCCACTTGAATAATCCATCGCGAGTACAAATAGTAATGTGCTTTTGATACGCATAATGCATCTTTACAGCTAAGCTTTTGTATCGTTGTTAGTTTATTTGGTGTGCATATCGCTGCATGCAGCCTTCTCATTTGTCGCTGCTATATTCTCAAGCTACTTGCAGCACTAACAGTGGGTGCAACCTTTACACTTACGATTCTCCGGGATTTTATACTAGTTGAGAAAGGATCTTCTCGGTTCTTTTGGTTCTTGCAATTGTATCTCTAACGGGCCCTTCTTGACTCTGCATTCTATGTTTGGACCATCTCTCCCAGATCGGTTTCTCGATTCAAGCTCACGTCTCATACCTGCTTAGGCAGTCCAAACATTTGTTCATTTTCATTTTGAGAATTTGTTTTTGCAGAAAACTAAATCCATATGGCGGTGTTTTATAGTGTTGAGGTGGAGGTAAACATTGACTCCTCTTTTGCGATTAGGTATTGAGCTAGATATTCTTGGCCTTGGACGCTAGATTCACTTTTTCTTTCTTCTGGGTTTACGGATGTGAACGTTTTTGATAGTTCTGGGAGAGACTCGGCTTCTTATGGGCTTCACTCAAGCATTTTCCGATCATTTCATGTTTTCTGCGATTATATTTGTGATACTTGAGCTTTTTTAGTAAAGATTTTCATCTGTCAACTGTGTATCGGCTGAAGTGTTGTCTAGCATTTGGCTATATGAAAGGTGAAAATTCGAATTCATTCTCTTCAACTCATAGTTTACCGCACTGAAAGTATTTTCTTCATGATGACTGTTCAACTTTTTGCGAACAACCGCTTTCATGGTTTAAGCATTGTAGATTTGCAAAAAATGTTTTTCGTGCTGAAAAGGTCTCATGGAAAAAATTGCAGAGGTACCGACCGCATTGTCTGACTACTTACACTTAGATTTGAAGTGCGAAACAAATCATTTGCTATTTTCGTGTAGTCACGTAAAAGATGATACGGGAGTTTTGTAGAGCCAAAACTGACCGCAAAAAATCCACAAAAGATGGATCTTTTTTACTTTTAATGAAGCTTAGTGATCTCAGATATGAGCATGGCACCTTATAGCTATTTTTTTCTGGCTACAAATTTTGCCCCTGTGGCGTTGATCAGGTTCTCCAAAAAAAAATTTGGGTTACTTCTTGTTTTTCGGGGAGAGGGGGGGGGGGGGGGAATTCACTCCTGCAACCTCCAAAAAGGCGGATGCGGCAATAGCTACGTCCTCATAAAATTTTATCAAAATACTTATTTTCATAAACTTACTTTTTTGAAGCTTTCATGATTGTCTCTTTCTGGTTTAGCAACAGAAGCAAAAGCTTCCCTGCTTTTGAATAGTCATTGTATAAAAGGGGCTTTTGATTATGCATTTTGAACGCATTGTATTCATTTTGCTACTCCTATCCTTTTGGTATCTGCCTGGAGACAAATGGCACTTCGTGTTTTTTTTGTAAAATCACGTCAGACTCAAGTTATCATGAGCTTTATTTTTAGAATGGAATCTGCTGATCAATCTTTGCTACGAGCACTGGAATCGAAAGCCGCTGGAACTGTTGCAATCTTTGATAAAGGGGTAATCGACATTTTACTCAAAAATCGACATTTTTTTCAAGAAGATGTTCAAGCTGAGTCTTAATAGATGACTTTATTTCTGGTATAAGGGTATGGTTCATTTTTAAAATCGTGACGACGAGTTGGCTGCGGACTTTGCATAAGCATAAAACACTCGTACAAACAGGCAACACCTCAACGCTGAGCTCAGTCACTTGAAATGTCTAATACTATCATATGTAAGCAGAAAAACTATTTGAGTAGAGATACAAACCAAGAAATGGGAATGCGTGCGTGTTGCGCGCGGTCGCGCCATCGTCACGATTTTTCGAATGCCCTATACATGCTACAGCTATGATCAGTGCGGCAGCGAGCTATGCACTTGCGGAGACAATGCTTAAAAGCAGTGGCTCGGCAAATCCTCACCTAAAGTCTCTTCGCTTACCTGGGATAATTCGACGCGCTGGTTCCGAAAATACACCTTGAAGAGCACGAAAATGTCGAAAACCAATTTTTCGAGGGTTCTCATTCTGAATCTGGACGAGTGGACCACCACCAGTGGACGACTTCTTACACGCGCTTGGACGAGATGGCTTTTGCGCACGGGTTTAGGAGCAGTTTTCTAGGCAGGGGCAGCATTTAGTGCGCTCGGACCTCCTCTATTCTGATGTTTATGCAAGCAACCTTCCATATCAAAATTTCGAAATGTTTGGTTTTGCCGAGCCACTCCTTCAAAGGCACTGTCCAGGCTAAATCTAACCCCTCCGATTGAGGTGACTCTGAATGCAGGCCCCACTAGAGGGCCATCTGCATTGGTCCGCTCCTTTAAAGTTGTCTCTGATCGGAGATAAGGGGGCCTGGCGCAGCCAAATGGCTATTAGACCCCGCCCAGATCCTGTCAGACTCCGCCCACCCATGTATTGAAAGTCACCCGTTCTCAAGACAGGGTCCTCAAGAATCGGGTTTTTTGGGGGTTTTGGACTATTTGAATTTCATAACTGTAATCAGGGCCAGGAAAGGCCTCAGAATGGTAGAAATATGGGAGGCAAAATTTTGGGTGGACCGCTGCCTTTAATTATTCTAGTTTCAAAATATTGAAATTGGTAGTGTGCAAGAGTTTTGTAGCAATCGCTGTGACACATGTTATCCGTGCGTTTCGCCAGTAACGACTTTAAAAAATTGTGAAGTTGTTAAGCTTGGTGTGCAATGTCACCACTGAGCTGGAAATGGTCAGAACTTAACCCAGCCATACCAAACAACCTGTATATCGTCGGACTAGCCTTGGAACGCTGATTTCAAGTATACGATTATTATCTGCCACACGACTATCCGGACGGAGTTATGGGCGTTTAAATGTGAGATTTGTTAAGTGTTCTGTGACTCATGTTCCACGAAATACGCTTCAAAAAACTTGCTTAGGTTTTTGATGGATGTGCCTCTTCCTTGTAAATAGACCCATAGTCTGTAAATCCGCGCCATCAGACTGCCGCTCTAAAGAACTATATTCATTGGAATTCGAAGAATTTGTCGTATTTGAACGCTCATAACGCCTTCCAAATGATCGCTTGGCAGATCATAAACGTATAGTTGAAGTCAGCGTTTCAAGGCGATTTCGATGGTATACAGGTTGTTTGGAATAGCTGGGTTAAGTTCTGACCTCCTGCTCAGCTTTACAGCTTTCACTGGAAAGTTGAACAAATATGGTCAAAGAGCTTCAACTGCAATTTCAGCAATCCATGTTTCATTTCAGAATATGAAAGTTGTAAAAGCTACGGCTTATTTTTTTAGAAAGTTGCAGCTCTTCTAGATTTTACCAGTCGCGTTCGTACAGCCTTTGTTGTCTAATCAAAATCACAGCCGTTTCCAACATAGAAAGCATTTGTAATGCACTAGAAGAACATGCACTCTCTGAAATGACCTTTCCAACGAATTCTCCAATGACTGGAGCAATATGGATTTTTTTCTTCAGCGCAACACGAAAACATGAAAGTACAGTTTTTTAAGAGTTATTCATAGTAGTGGTTGCTTTTTTGTGGACGGCTGGTGGTCCTCCATATCTGTTCACATCAATGATTCAGACTGCACATATATGTAGCAGTGGTGGTCGCAGGACTCCCATCCGGGGGGGGGGGGGGAGGGGCGCGGCAAAATTTCCTTTCCAAATAAAGGTGCATGGCGTCAGGCAAGCAATCCGAAAAATTTTTCGGGTTCAAATTTTTGCGGGCCCATAACTCCTAAAATCTAGAAAAGGGGCGTGGTGGCAGCCTCCGCAAAATTCTTTTCACAAGGCTAGTCTACGAATTTTTCAAAAATTATTTCTTTTATTTACAAAAATAAACAAGTAACGTGCACATTTTTATAGCCCATATAAGTAAGTTTAAAGATTTCGCGACCCATTTTCGGGGGAGGGGGGGGGGGGGCGTTCCTCCTCCCCTCCCCCGTTCCCCCCCCCCCCTCCTCGGACCGCCGCTGATATGCAGTGATCGTAGCTGTTTGTTATCTTGAGAGATGGGATTTGCATATACTAGATTGGCGCACAAAGTTCCTCACAATTCTTAGAAGATATAATTCTCATTTATTCAGCGAATTCGCTCTATGTTGCTCTGTTGGAAAGTGAATTATTGCCATAGTGACAGCGTCCATACGTCTATGAAGCAGAGTTCTTGAAGGTGAAAGCAAAAGAGGAGGATCACTCAAGCTTCAAAGCTTAGGTCTTCAAAATTCCAAGAGTGCAGTAAATCCTGCAACCGTTTGTATAAGTTGTAACATACTGTTTCTAACTAACTATGAGAGAACTTTTGCGAAGGTTTCTGTATTAAAACCATTGATAAAAAGTACTGAATTCTAGTCGTTTTCTAACATTTTCCTCGTTCGTGAAGTTTTAAACGGTAGGATTAGAAAAAGAACTTCATGAGAATCTGACGATGGCTTTATTTTTTTTGCAACAATCCAGATTGTTGCTTACTTAACCAATAATTCTCAAAGCTCAAGTTATCATTTTCTTCTCTATGTGTCGCTATATTCAGCTCCAAAGTGCTATCAAGACTAATCCAAAAACAGATATGATTTTCCCGTTACAAAATTTATGCATGCAGTTCTACCAAGATGAGAAGAATTTTGCGAGTGAAGAAGTTACGAGAAATTTTTGCGCTGATTTAGTTCGTTGCGTATTCCGAAAGATGTTGCGTTTTGTTTTTCACTAGGTTCAATTGGTAGGACCTCGCGGACCTACTATGTGACGATCTAGGAATATTCCATTTGCGATTGCTTCCGACTTAGACAACAGTCGTGTAGACTGAAGAGATCTTAGTTTTGGAATGAAATTCTTTCCAAATTCTTCGAAATTAGTGAGCATCCTTATAGAACTTCGCGATAACTTTTTTTGCGAAAACCTCGATTTTTTACCGTTTTTGAGGAAAAAGATTTTTCGTCATTTGGTTAACAGGCAATCAGGGCTCGGCACAGGTGGCTTACAAGCAAGCTGGATATCGTTTTTGGGGCGAAAAGCAAAGGGGGTTTCGTTTTTGTGAGCGAAGACATACGGAAAATTGACGACGGCGACCTTTTTTTTTTTCTTTTAGTCGACGTTTCGTTTTTTGGGGGATTTTCGGGAATTTTTCAGGTTTTTAGAAGAAATTTGGTTCAGGGTCAAAGGGGACTTCGTAAAAATTCCCAAAAGTCAAGGGGGACTTCGTTTTTTCCATTTTCATCTAGCCACCTCGTGCCGAGCCCTGCAGGCAATAATCAACCTTTTCGCTGTGGATAGACGTTCCCCCTCCAGCAAAGTTGTATGTTCCTTGAAGCTCATCCTGCTAATGGATCCTTACAAGGGATGGATGCTCAGTCGAAGTGGCGTTTCCATATGAGATATGTATTATCTTTAAGAGCATGAGGTGCTAACTTCTAACCTGCTTTCAGTATCTGCAAAGCGCTTCTGAGAGGAGAGTTATGGAAATTTTTTGATGCAAAAATTTGAAAGCGCCGCTACAATAGAAACAATCAGAACAACGGTCCGTGAGCGGACTAATGTTACGTAAATATGCATAGGTTTTTGTAGGATTACTATGCGTGTTATGGCAATGATGCGGTTCTACTAGCAACAGAAGTTTTTATGAGCGATGTCTGCCTCAAGACAATCACTATCAAAGGTAGATTTATTTGTTATTTTTATGTTTGCTAAGATGTAAGTTCAGGGGAGTTGCTACAATATCTGACTATGAACCATGGACAATATCAACGGACAGTCAGAGAGCTTCTAATGTTCTTGAGGTATCGTGTAGAGCTGTATACCTTGGACCGAGATCAATGGGTTCTGAAGGCAAAGGTTAGGTTTAGGACCTACACAGCATTTGAGCTGAGGCATGTTTGCCTCTAACATCGTGGTTTTGAGACCACATGAGCTAGAATAATTGTATTCTAGGGTACCACTGGTAATCTGGGAGATTTCGAAGATGTAGTTGGCGACGTAACTGGATGTGGAAATGTAATTATGGCTATCAAAATCTCAAAGGGAGAAAATGTGTGTTTCCCTCCGACCATAGCTTGCAAATTGATGGACTCTTTTGTATTACAGAATGACGTCAGCGTCTGTTTTGTAGACCTTATGGAATTTCGCGTACTAACATCTGAATTCATCGACTCACCGAGCTTTGCTCAAGTCGAGGTGCTTTTGTTGGCCGGTATGGTTGAAGTTTTATCTTTACTGTTTCAGCAATGTATCGTTGGTATGGCTCCACGTGAATGTCTCGTCTATGCCGACACCGGAAACTGTGCATTCAGTGGAAAAGAGCGTCCGAAGAAATTGAGTAGTCTCCTCAAAAAGGTGGGAGTGCTTGAAACCAATGCCAGCTCCTTGACAGAATCATGCGATTGGGAGGAGGTGTGCACCATATTTCATCCAGGATGTGAATGTATGTTGTGTCGTTCGGATTTCTGTGTAGGTTTATAAGAATTTTTCCAGATACAGCACTTTCTGAACCTATCAGACGTTGTCTCTGTGGCTTATACAATTACTTGAGAATGACAGAGCAGGAAGTCTTCAAGCAAAAGTTTACACTATCCGATTATCGAACCTCTGGTTTCATGCATATCGACGCAGGAGCTGTTCGTGCTCTTGAACTGTTCTCGTTGAGCTATCATCAGGGTTAGTTCTTTCTTAACTTCATAATTGGAAAATTCCCACAGTTACAATATGCGCATGATTCTTTAGACACAAAGGGGAACTCTGGAACCCTATTCGGTTTGCTTAACAAGTGCCGTACGGCCCCTGGGCAGCGACTTTTGAGTTAGTGCTGTTTTTCTGTTACTGTATTATCGACTGCTATCATTTCTTCAAGGAGAATGGTTAGCTCGTCCATTGTGTGATATCAGGCAGATAAGTGATCGACAGGATGTTGTTGAATCTCTGGTGCAAAATTCTGAGGTTACCAATTTTTATGACTTTTTTGTAGTCGAAATCTAGTTTTTAAAGTGTCCCTTGGAAAATGCAAGATTTGAGATTATATTCATCAGAATAGACGATACCTGGTGCCGTTATAGAAAACAAGAATAATTGCTCAGAAAACATCTATTCCACTCATTTTTTCATTTGAATTCAAATTTCTGTTTTGTCTTCGAAAAAATTCTGTAGAATGCTTTCTAAAATTTCTAGACTCAAGAGTTCAAATTCAAGAAAGGGGAAGTGGCGGCAATCATGCCACTGAAAAAAACTTTTACAAGGAAAACTTAATTTTTGAAAAGTTTTTTGCAAGTCATTTGAATTATTCGAAGCAAAAGCTTATCATTTGCGCATTTTTCATACTCATGTAGACTGTATTGAACCCCTCTTCCTTCCTCCATCTCACTCTCCTGGTTTTTTGCAGGCTACTTTACGTCTCTTCCTTTGGAAAAAATCAGGTTCTTAATTTCTGAAATGACTGGAGTCGGAACTAAAGTTTCGAAGGGCATGTCTAACACTTATCACAAAAATTTGCTATCATTGATCAAATTTCAATCCTTCTAAGCAAATGGTGGGACCAAATGTGCCGTTATGACATCTGGGTCTACTCAAGTATATTTATTCGCCCTTATGATCGTAAATGTTTCTATCGTTACAGGTTCGCAGGACTTTGAGCGACATGCTCCTGCCCAAAGTCCCTGATAGTTCGGTTTTGGCTAGAAAGTTGGTTCTCAGCAAAGCTAAGCTGCAGGTTCTATTTTTATATTCTCGCTGACACCCGCTAGATCCCTCAGTACGAAATGTTATTCAGGACTGTTATCGAGTCTTTCAATTGGCTGTCCTCCTGCGACATTTTGAACGTACTTTACGCGAGCTTTTTGATAATGACGAGAAAAATGGGCCAGCTATCAAAGACTTGATGCTGGTAAGAGATTTAAACGTTCGCTAGTTTGATATTGGCATAAAAGTAGATTGCAGGAACCAATCTGTTATGCACTCTTGCACTTTGACAAATATTGCAAGTTGATTCGCAGTACAGTAGATGAGGAGTTTTATGACAAAACTAGCGACTTCCGCATCCGTCCTGATATTGACCCGGAACTGCTACGGATCAGTGATGAAATGTCTGCACTGGAAAAGAAGGCTGAGAAAGCTAGGGCACATGTATGTGGCAACCTTACTAATTCGGAATTTAACGTAGAATGTGTTTTTGTGCGTTTTTCTAGCTTGCGGCTAAACTGAATCTTGATTCCATCAAACTCGACTCAAACGGTCAACTTGGATTTTTCTATAGAGTTACGCTGAAGGTGAGACACCAACAGACATTATGCTGAACAACCCATATGACAAAGTTTTGAAGGAAGAAAAGAATATCCGAAAAGCGAAGTTTATTACTGTACTAAATACTAGCAAAGGCTCTGGTGTTCATTTTCGTGATGGCGACTTAGCCGAGATCAATGAGCGGTCTGTCTTCCTTCGCATTTTTACCCTCTTGTCCAAACTCAAAATGAATTTTCTAGTCACCAAGTGCTGAACAATATATATCGGACTGCTCAACAAGATTTGGAGAAGAAAGTAATTGCTACTTGTGGTTAGTCAATTTTTTCCATTATTCAATAAAAATATATAAACCATCCTAAAGGGTTGTTTTATCCGTGGTGATGATCTCGAGTATTTTGAGGACTATGAGATACTTTGGAATCGTATACATATATACTTACTCCAGTTCTGAAAGCAAGAGAAAATGATATGTTTTTGCAATTTTAATGAACTGTTTGCAATTAGTAGAAAACATACTCTCCTGTAATTTGTTGCAAAGCTCACCATAAAAAATGTGTAAAAATCAGAACTTCATGAGCTTTTTTTTGTGATTTGGAAAAGGACAAAATTTGACGGTGCTGCGCAACCGAGTAGTGCTTACAGTCCTTCAACAAGAAAACCCAGTTCAGCTCTATATTGTAAAATGGCTGCAGAAGAGAAAGTGGCATCTGTGAATGAGGCGGGTGTGACAGAGGATGGATCTCAGCTGTGCTAAAGATTCTCATTAGAATAATCCTATGTGCTTGAGTCAATTAGCTCCATGAATAACTCTCTTCGCACCTGGATACCTCCCCTTTGTCTCAATAAAGGTGTGACCTCGCACTTTACAAATATCGCAAAATTTTTATTTAATTTAGTTGCCTTCCCCCTCCGAAGAACATTTTAAAACTGGCAATGGACACTGGATGAAATCTTGTAACCCTCTTCCATTGTCTTGTGGGCAGCTTTGCAATGTGTTGAACACCTTACTTGGCCACGCGTATTTTGTTATTTACACTAATGACATTTTAATGGATTAACACATTTTTTTTTAACAAAGGGGGACAGCGGAGCGACGACCTCTTTCGAAAGTGGTTTCAAGATGCTTTCTGGTTTTCTCCACCCGCGAAGTTTTTCTTTTTTTGAGAAGCTAGAGGCTATCAGCTACTTTTTTAACTGACAGGGGAAGCGTGTTTAGTCGAAGTGGCCTTTTCAGATGAGACTCATACTGCTTTGAAGAGTATTGCATTCCAAATCTGCCTTCCAAATCTGCCAAGCGCCTCTGGATATTGAGTTATGGGCGCTTTTCAGTCAAAAAATTGAACGCAAACCTGCGACAAAACCTCCCAAATTGCTCAAATGTCCTGTATCAAATATCAGAGCCGCTTATGCAATGGATACATTTTGTCTATGCCAATATTAACATTGTTGTATCTGAGCGCTGGGAAGATTGTAACAATTGATTTTACCTAAATTCTGCGTTCATTTTTCCAAAAACGGTCATAACTCGGCGTCCAGAGGCGCTTGGCAGATTTTGAAGGCAGATTTGGAATCATTGTGCAATACTTTTCAAAGCAGTATGGGTCTCATCTGAAAAGGCCACTTCGACTAAACACGCTTCCCTTGTGAGCCGATTTTTGAAATTTGCAAAGCATACAGGTGAAAATAAGTCATTGCGCAATTTTAAAGTGCAAGACTACTTCCAAAAAATCGCGACCACTCTCGGTCCGCCATTGTGCGTTGCTAAATGTGCTGGATGAAACTAGTGCCTTCGATAACTTTAACGTTTTAGCTGGATATGCCTCCGCCTTGAGCGAGTTGAGTAATACTCTTGCTACGATTGACGTTCTCACAAGCTTGGCTCGAGTGGTGACAGATGCGGCTAGTGACTATGTCAGGCCCAAATTGGAGCCTATGGGTACGCTTATGTACTTTTCTTTGATTTTTTGGTTTCTATGACCGATAATCTCAGGCAGTGGCGTGTTCGAACTGAAAAAATGTCGCCATCCGGTTTTAGAAGCGTTGATAGACGAGCCATTCATACCAAATGATGTGGAGCTCGGTTTGTTATGCAAGCAAGCGATTTTGCAAACAAACTCTGCCTTTAGGGACAAATCGAATGGTCATTCTAACGGGTGCAAATATGGGCGGAAAAAGTACTTATCTCCGATCGGCAGCTATCTCAGCTTTACTAGCGCAAATTGGTATTGTTACTGAGATGGTCGATCAAAGACGAGTCATCCCACTTTAGGAAGCTTCGTACCCGCTTCGTACGCTCATATGTCGGTATTGGACGGCATCTTCACCCGCGTGGGTGCAAGCGACCAACAGACCAGAGGAATTTCTACGTTCATGGCCGAAATGCTGGACTGTGCCACTATCTTAGAGGTAACACTTGAGTGTCTCTTGCGTTATTTGACCGTTCCTTTCTTGATAGAGCAAGAAATTTTGAAGCAATTTAAGAAGATCTTAGAACAAATTCGCATATGCAGAAGAGCGTTCCGCAAGTTTGACTAAAACAATCGTTTTAGACATTAGGTTTCTATATATGCCAACTATGAGAAATACAGGTTTGGAATTTTCAGAATTCTTTTTAACAAATCCTGTGAAAAAATAAAGAGTTAACAACGCGTTGTTAGAACCTCAGCTGTAGGTCTGTCAAAATAAGCTATCGGTTTGTTTGAAAACATCTGAGGCCAGAACTTACTTTTTTCCCTTTTCTCAAGCATGGATTGCAAGCCGTTTTCAAAAATTTGTGAATCTTGCATTTTATGAACGAATTATTGGGTCTTTTACCAACGTATTTAAAATTTCTTATGGGCGAATAAGCGAAAGGATTAAAGAGGGGAAAGGGAAGTAAGGCATTAGAACAACCTAGCTCTCGCCGCTTATAGAGAAATTACTTAGTATAACTACATATACTACCAGAAATTTGGGAAGGATTTTTTGCAAATGGAGGGAGATTTCTTGTCTGATTGTTCGCAAGAAACTACATGAATTCAATCTACACTTGAAACTTGCTAAGCAGTTGCTTGCATCTGTGAAAGGTGGGCATATAGTTTAATGTTGGCCTACGTAATTCTCCCTAAATCAAAAAAGAAATTCATGCGGAAAAGTAGTTGTCTGAGATTCAAGATGTCGTTCAGACTGCGACATCCAACTCATTGGTAATAGTCGACGAACTGGGACGTGGTACTTCAACGTACGATGGCTTCGGACTTGCTTGGGCAATTGCAAAGTGATGCTTACATGCCTCTTGCTTATGGGTGCTTTTTACTACAACAAAATTTTAGTGAGCTGCTCACGAGAGTGAAGTGTTACTGCTTGTTTGCAACCCACTTCCACGAAATGGGAGCGATCGCTGAACGGCCAGGTGCAGTAGCCATGCAAGTAAGTTCTGCTACATTTTGCTTATCGACAGTGGTACGAGGAATCCTCCAAGGGCTCATAACCCTAAAATTTTGTTTAAAAAAGCGGGAAGTGGTGGCACAGTGCCCAAAAAATTTTCTTTTACAAAGCCAGCTTGACTTCAAAAAATTGCGCAAATTTACTCATTTTATTTACGAGTAAAAACGATGTACGTGCGTGCACAATTTTCTAAGTTGTAGGCCACTTCCCCCCTGTCTCTCCCCCCCCCCCCCATCTTCCTCCGTCCTTTCTAGGTCCGCTACTGCTGACGAGGAAAATTTGATAAAGTTCATTTAGATGTCTGTATCGGTCGAAAATGAACAACTCACCATGCTATACGAAATCCGCCCAGGAGTGGCCCAAAGTTCCTTCGGCATTTATGTTGCTCGTAACGTCGGTTTCCCTGAGAATATCATCGAGGTAGGATTAGTACCCTACCTGATAATTCACTTCCCTTTCTTATTGCAGGACGCGTCTTGCATACTCAATGAACTAGAAAATAATGCAACTGAAGAAGACGTAGATGAAATCATCAAGAAGCTGAAAACTGCGAATAATGAAGAATTGACTCGTCTTCTGGCATGATTTTCTTACAGTATCTATCACTCATATAACTTTTCAACGGGATCTCACTAACGCACTCATCTCGGTATCTCATTTTTTCCTCACGCTCTCAACTTCTCAGTGTCATTATCTTTGATTATGTTCTCACCAACATTGCCTATACCTCCTTCACTTCTTACTTTTATCACTTATATCGTGTCCTATCGTTACATAATAGGATACATGAACATTAACGTTCGAAGTTATTATTTCAAACTTTAGTACCAAAAAGTGTGTTAAAAGATGAAAAACTTGCTCTGTCACTCACTTGCATTTATACAGTGGTGCCTCGTTGGTATACGAGCGAGAAAGGAAAAACTTCCAGCGTTCTTCGCATCCCTATACTCCGCCCTTTTATTTAAAAGCAAGGGTAGTCCTTACGTACAATAGCAGGCTAATTTTGACGGGCGGGATAGGTTGTTTTAGGACACATTCATATAGGGAGAACTTGTTCTTGCTTTCCTACATATGTGGTAGTTTTAGCCGCGCTTTTTTTTTGCTGAGGCTTTTCAGCAAGTGCTTCACTTAGATAGGAAGTGGTAGGAACAAATTCAGACTTCAATTTGTAGGCGCTTAGTGCCCTATCGTTGTTGAGAACGACAATGTAAGACAAAATGCACATCTCCATAAACTCGTCGATTCACAGCACTGCAATGAAAATATAACTGGAAAATCTATAAAATCTCCTTTCATAAGTAAATCAAGTTGAAGGTTACGTAAGGCACATTGAAGTGTTGCTATAAAAATTGTGGCATAGACAAAGCTGAAGTGAGATGTTTGAAAACTTCTGAAAACTTTCAGTTTGATATCAGGATGTAGGTACAGACTTGACCCATAAGATTTTGCTCAAAAACTTCTACCGCAAAACGAAGAAACACCTAAAGCACAAAGAAAAATACAGTAGGAAATTTTTGAGTCGTACTTACAATCAGGTGAAACCAGTGGCGGTCTTTCGGACCGGGGGGGGGCGGAAAAAAATTTCAAATGAAGGTGCGTGGCGTTAGCCACGCTTAGGCTAATATGAATTTTTAAAAAATTTTAAAAATTATTTTAATTATTTACAAAAATAAACAAGTCGTTTGCACATTTTTATAATCCATATAGGTAAGTTGTAAAAATTTCGCGACCCATTCTGGGGGGGGGGGGGGGGCGCCCCCCCCCCCGCCCCCCCTCCCCTCGGACCGCCACTGGGTGAAACCTCGAAAGAGCTGGACAGATAAGTCCCTGGAAAGTCGTTTTGCCTCTCAAGTTTTAGGGCTGTATCGCACTCCTGTAACTACTGGCGTTCCCAAAAATTTTCTTCCAAAAAGCGGATGCGATAGAATTTCTTTTTGTATGAAAGATCATGGCGTCAGCTAAGTCTGTAGCAAAAATCAAGGGACATGGCTTGCCATGTTAGTAAAAATCTAAATGCAAAGCTAATCCTTATAAGTATTTCGATAACTCATGGATAAAAACAAGTTGGGTTAACTGTATGACTCATGTAGACAATCAAAAGTTGGAGTATTTCCATAACTCATGGATAAAAACAAGTTGGGTTAATTGTATGACTCATGTAGACAATCGAAAGTTCCGACGCATTCTTCAAATTGCATCGAGATTCTGAGCATAGGAAGGAAAAACGCCGAATGCTGCTCAAATACCTAGAAAGTTGCGATTATAGTTTTCTGGCTAATTAGATCTGACACAACTGCAGATTTGACTTTCAAATTTCAAACTGTAGAAAATTTTCTTTTTTAACACGTTGACGACGAGCTGTTTTTTTGACGTCTGTCCCTGTGGACGAACCGTTTCCAGGCATTTTCGCAGCCGGCTGCATATATGTGTGTATGCATCTATGCGTAAGGTACAAAAATGCAAGTGGGCGGGCAAGCTCCGCCCACTTTTGGCAAGCCCCGCCCACTTTTCAAAATGCTGGAAATTGCTCAAAATCAATGAATTGGTGCAAATTCCGGCATTTTTGAAAAGTGGGCGGGGCTTGCCATTCAGGGGGCGGGGCCTGCATAGTGGGGGGCGGGGTCAAAATCAAGATTATTTGAGGTTCCCCGGTCATCTATGAGCTTTTCTATGCGATTTGAGAACGAAAAAAGTTTTTTGTACAGGGCAACGGAGTGGGCGGAGTTTGCCAAAAAAGGGGCGGGGCCAACATGAAAAACTTCCGAGCCTAGACTGATTATGTGAACACAAATTGGAACCATTGGGCACATTCGAACTGGAATTTAGGGTGTCGCGCACCATTGCGCGACATCGTCCACAGGGACAGACTGCCTGTCGCGCACCATTGCGCGACACTGTCGTCAACGTGTTAAAACATGACTTAAAGCTCTCAAACTTGAGAAACTTTACGTGGAAGATATCGTCTACTTCTCAGTGATGTCTATGCTATGACTTTGTATGGAAAGTCCTTTTCAACCCTGCACTTCGAGAGTGCATTTGAAGCGACCATCCATAACAAGCATGCCTCTGATAGAATTATTGCAGTGAAATGTACAAAAAAAGCAAAAATAAGCCCAAATTTGATTTCATTTCGTTAAAGAGGAGGTTATTTTCATGAAAATTACGGTACTATTCCACATTAGTTGCCGAAAAAATGGAAATCGCGGATTTCGCTGAAACTTTGTCTACGGGGGGGGGGGGGGGGCTATTTAACACGCTGATCACGAATAACACATTTATTTGGCACGTTGACGCCAACTGGGTGGAGTTACTATAGGATTACGGTAGAGGGTCAGAATCACGGATTCGCCCCAAACTTCGTATACAGGGGTTATTTTTCACTCTGAACATGTACACCATATTCATTTCTTACGATAGCACCATTTTACGTGTTACGTTAGGCATAGCTAGGTGGTTGAAGTTTCCAAATGCTACTTTACCTAGAGGGGTTCGAAGCATGCTGATCATGGTCGTATGCTGCAACAATGTCTTATTGTAGAGTTGCAGTGAGCTAGATACAGTGCGTAAAAGAACAACTTTTCCGGTTTTCAGCCCAATATAGGTCCCAAAAATCCATGAAAAAAGCTTTATCATGCGAGACGAGCAGCGATATATTGTGCATCCTCCAGGATTGTTCCCATATGAACCATCAAGGTGATTTCTCGTTCTTCATTCTCAATAAGCCTTTCAATCGTTTTAACAGCTTAACTCCAGCAAATTTAAGGCGCTTACTCCAAGTTGACATGTTAGAATGATCGAAAGACACCTACGTTAGTTCATATGGGAACAATTCTGGGGGATGCACCATATCTGGGGGATGGCCAACTAATGTGGAATACCGCCAAATTGCTGGTGTCTTGTTAGGGAGATCAAAGCAAGTCATAATTTTTTACAAAATGTCCAGAACTTATTGTGCAAGAATCGGCCAATTTAAGGACATACGGAGTGAGGATATACCCGCAGGAGATGTGTCCGCATCAGCGCGCACGGCACAGCAGGAATTTCCGCGCTCTAGTCGGAAACTCGGACCGTGTCATAATTTCGCTGCGCGGCGAGCGTTTCGAAAGCGCTAGCGATGCGCGAGGCGTTTCGAAAGCGCGAGCACGAAGCATCCTCAGTAAGCTGAAGGACGCCATCAGAGGTGGGTTGTTCATGTTTGTGAGGAAGTTCTTAGCGGTTGTGTATTATTGTTGTCGTAAAGTAGCACCTATCTACGTTTGAATATGAAGTATAAACGGGTACCAAACGTGCTCTGGCCATCAGATGTTGTATCATGTTCAGATTAGGAAAACTGGAGATTTCAGATCAGCCAGCATGGCTCTTGTCGGTATAGACTTTCGAGCTCCTCTGCGGCAAGTGAAAAGAGTGCAGTTTGGTATTCTTGGGCCAGATGAAATCGTAAGTTAATGCTGAACTTACTTATTTGTACAGTGAAGTATCTACAAAGTTTTGGTTATTCATGCCGTTTAGAAACGCATGTCCGTTGGTGAAATCGAATTCCCCGAAATATACGAAAATGGTAAACCCAAAAAAGGTGGTTTGATGGATCCACGGCAAGGTGTCATAGATAGGAGAGGAAGGTGAGGACTCTGAACCTACTAGTTTTGATGCTAGCAGTTACTTTCATTCAACCTAATGAGATATTCAGATGCATGACCTGTGCTGGAAATCTTGCAGATTGTCCAGGGCATTTCGCCCATTTAGAGCTTGCTAGACCTGTATTTCACATAGGCTTTCTTACAAAAACATTGAAGGTAAATTGTCGATGCTTGGTTGATTGAAATGCTGCCATATATTCCTTTTAGGTTCTTCGTTGTGTTTGCTTTTACTGCAGTAAACTGCTTTTGGATAAAGATAATCAGCGTGTCAAAGACATACTCAGAAAAACACAAGGTCAGTTTTTTGTTTGTAGTGATTACAGTTATTCTATTTTCTTCTTATGTATAGGCAATCCCCGACGAAGGCTTGCCTTAATATACGATATTTGTAAATCAAAAGTTGTTTGTGATGGTGGAAATGAAATTGAAAATCAGAACCCAGAGGTAAGTATGATTTTCATCTCTCACTTTCTCAGTTGAATTTGAAATTTAGGAGGGAGGAGAGGATGGTGAAAAAATCATAAAAGCAAGCGGCTGCGGCCGATATCAACCTTCATATCGTCGTACCGGTATAGATATCAATGCAGAATGGAAGAAGAATGTGAATGAAGATACGCAGGTGTGTAGTTGTGAAGTGACTAACTTCTTTGCCTTATCGCTCTTGAAAATGACTAGAATGGCGTATGCAAATTTTCTGTCGTAAAAATGGAGTAAGTGCTCGTTTCAGGAGAGGAAAATTGTGCTCACTGCTGAGAGAGCTCTAGAGATATTCAAACAGATATCCGATGAAGACTGTCTCATTCTTGGTTTGTTACTGAACTCATGCATCTTTGTTTTGCCAAGGTATGGATCCGCTACTCTAGGTATGGATCCGCGGTTTGCTCGCCCTGATTGGATGATCTGTACAGTCTTACCTGTTCCTCCCCTTGCCGTTCGTCCTGCTGTCGTTACTTTCGGATCTGCGCGTAATCAAGATGATTTAACGCATAAGCTTTCCGATATTATCAAAACGAACATACAACTGCGAAAGTAAGTCAGTTAAAATTGCTTGTGCAATTTGATGGAAATATTTTCTTCAGTAACGAAGCTAATGGAGCAGCCGCTCACGTCTTGGCTGATGATGTAAAGCTACTGCAATATCATGTGGCAACATTGGTGGACAATTGCATACCAGGACTTCCAACGGTCAGTTTGTTTTATGAAGTCACAATAACTCCACAATAATCACGTTCAGGCGACACAAAAAGGTGGAAGACCTCTAAAGTCTATAAAGCAGCGTTTGAAAGGGAAAGAGGGTAGGATTCGAGGAAATCTTATGGGTGAGTTCGTAATAATCCTACTTTTTTCTCAAATCCAATTAATCCCGCTCTCAGTTTCTAATTTTCTAATATGCTTAATAGCTTGGCTTGCAATTTTTCACATTTCATATTTGCTGTGAATTTGCAGTATCTTTTTCTTTTGCAATCGTATTTGGTCTCTGCTTCGGTTCAACTGACCTTTACCTTTTCAAATTCTACTCCTATCACACCATTCAGTGGCTGCTTCTTTTCTCAGTAGTTGGGATTTACTCAAGCCTTTTTTAGGTAAGCGTGTTGACTTTTCGGCGCGTACTGTCATCACAGCCGATCCTAACTTACCCATTGATACTGTCGGCGTTCCTCGCACCATCGCACAGAACCTGACTTTCCCAGAAATTGTCACACCTTTCAACATTGACAAGTAAGTCCTCCTTTGTGGTAGCTACATGCCTTCATAGAGTAATCCCTTCAGGCTCCAAGAACTTGTAAATCGAGGAGATTCTCAATACCCTGGAGCAAAATATATCATTCGTGAAAATGGGGCTCGTGTTGATCTTCGATATCACCCGCGAGCTGCCGATCTTCATCTCCAACCGGGCTACAGGTCTGGTTGTTTTTGTAGGTCAGGAGACGAAAATGCGATTCATCACTGTTTGCAGAGTTGAACGGCACATGCGCGACGGTGATATAATTGTTTTCAATCGACAGCCAACGCTGCACAAAATGTCCATGATGGGACACAGAGTGAAAGTTAGTTGTTTCTATCAGACGGTTTATCTAGCAACGTATGCAGATAAATCGCATTTACTCTCCAGATACTTCCATGGTCTACATTCCGAATGAATCTTTCCGTGACTACTCCGTACAATGCTGATTTCGACGGAGATGAAATGAATCTGCATTTACCACAATCTTTGGAGACTAGAGCGGAGATCGAGGAGATTGCAATGGTGCCAAGGTATAAACTACTTTGGTCCTTCTGCTGGGTCGACTATCTCTGTTTCTCAGGCAACTTATCACTCCACAGTCAAATAAACCTGTGATGGGCATCGTGCAAGATACTTTGTGTGCAGTGCGAATGATGACCAAGCGAGATGTTTATATTGACTATGTAAGTTGACGCAATAGCTGTGCATAACTGGATCATTATGTTTTTTAGCCACGTATGATGGATCTACTCATGTATTTACCAACTTGGGAGGGTAAAGTTCCACAGCCAGCCATTATGAAACCGAAACCATTGTGGACCGGAAAGCAGCTTTTCTCGCTTATCATTCCCGGAAACGTTAATGTGTTGAGAACACATAGCACCCATCCAGACGACGAAGACAGCGGTCCTTATAAATGGATATCTCCCGGTGATACGAAGGTGGGCGAGTGCTTTGATTTTCACTATAACTATCAAGCTTTTCCTTCAAGGTGTTGGTCGAACATGGAGAGCTGATTTCTGGCATTATTTGCTCAAAAACAGTTGGGCGTTCAGCTGGTAATCTTCTTCACGTCGTTGCTCTTGAGCTTGGACATGAGGTCAGTTGCTAATCAAACCCTTTTTGTGGGTGCGTCAGTATGTGCTTGTATAGGTGGCCGCTAAATTTTATTCACACATTCAAACCGTCATAAATGCTTGGTTACTGGGAGAGGGCCACACTATCGGCATAGGTATGAAGTTACTTCGAGTTTAGTAACTGCGTTATGGTGCCTAATAATTCTAGGAGATACCATCGCCGATCAAGCCACATATCGGGACATCCAGGATTCAATCCGAAAAGCGAAGCTTGATGTGATTGACGTCATTGAAAAGTTCGTGACATTTGAGTCTTTTTGACTTATGTTTTATTACATCTTTCCAGGGCTCACAATGATGATCTTGAACCAACGCCTGGTAATACACTACGTCAGACTTTTGAAAATAAAGTGAACAGAATTTTGAATGACGCTCGTGATAAAACAGGAAGCTCAGCCCAAAAGTCCCTTTCCGGTTAGTTTATTGTTAACTATTGAATGTGTTATTCCTAATTTTGCGAATTTTTGAACACTTGCCTTCTTGACACACTTTTTCAATTCCTTCAGCCTCATCTTACATGATCAGTTTTAATCTTCACATGTTTAGATTTCAACAACTTCAAGTCCATGGTAGTGTCTGGTTCGAAAGGATCGAAAATTAATATTTCACAGGCAAGTGCATGGTGTCTTATATTTTATGCTGCCATGCTTATCCTCTATTAAATCTTAGGTTATTGCTTGTGTCGGTCAACAGAACGTTGAAGGAAAACGTATTCCATTCGGTTTCCGTCATCGAACCTTGCCGCATTTCATCAAGGATGACTATGGACCAGAATCGAAAGGGTGTGTAGTGGTGTAAGCTGTGCAGTTCATGTTTATCATTTTCCTTTAGGTTTGTGGAGAACTCGTATCTTGCTGGACTGACTCCTGCTGAATTCTTCTTCCACGCTATGGGAGGTCGTGAAGGTCTAATTGATACCGCCGTAAAAACGGCCGAAACTGGATACATCCAGCGTCGTTTGATCAAAGCTATGGAGAGCGTCATGGTCAATTACGATGGGACGGTGAGCTGACAAATTTCTGGTTTTTGAGTATGCATACTCTATGTGATATATCTCCATTTTAGGTGCGAAACTCTTTAGCACAGATGATCCAGCTTAGGTACGGGGAGGACGGTTTAGATGGAATGTGGGTAGAAAATCAAAGCATGCCCACTATGAAGCCAACGAATGCGTTGTTTGAGCGAGATTTCAAGGTACATTATCTTGATTGAGTTCAATAAAGTGCTGCTTATATTTCACGCATATTCGTTTCTAGAATGACCTCTCAGACGAAAAGACTCTAAGAAAATATTATACGGAGGATCTGGTTCGCGAGTTGCAGTCCTCTCCTGAGGCTACCAAGGAGGTAGTCTCATTTTCTGTACGAGGTCACAAAATGTAAGAGTATACTATTCGATTTTCAGCTGGAAGCTGAATTCTTGCAACTGGAGGAAGATCGACGTTTGCTTCGAAAAATATTCCCAACTGGTGATGCTAAGATCGTGTTGCCTTGTAACCTTCAACGACTGATATGGAATGCTCAGAAGATTTTCCATGTTGAAACAAGGTACATCTTTGTTATAATTTCTGATTAGTACGTTGCGAAATTACTATCATTTGTACTAGTTAAATGCATTTTCCTGCTAATGCTATAAGGTTTATAATTTAAGGAAGGCAACAAGCTTAAGTCCTTTGCATGTCATAGACGGAGTGCGAAAACTATCAAAAAAATTGATTATCGTTTCTGGCGAAGATAAAATCTCGAAACAGGTACGTGGAAGTATATCTCCACTCCTCATATGCACAACTGATAATCAATTGTCTTAGGCTCAGTACAACGCTACTTTGCTCATGAACATCCTGATTCGGTCAACTCTGTGCTCGAAAAAGATGGCATCAACTCATAAACTAAATATGGAGGCATTTGACTGGCTGATTGGCAAGCTTACATAGGATGGCATGCGCTTTTTGTCTGACACTGATCTTTGTTCCAGGTGAAATCGAGACTCGATTCCAACAAGCTATTGCGCAGCCAGGTGAAATGGTTGGAGCACTTGCTGCTCAATCGCTTGGAGAGCCTGCTACTCAAATGACTTTGAACACTTTCCACTACGCCGGTGTATCTGCAAAGGTGCGATTTATTCAATCCACTGCGTATGTGCGTTATGCTCAAAAATTTTTTTTCAGAACGTAACCCTTGGTGTACCGCGGTTGAAGGAAATCATCAATGTTTCGAAGCAGCTAAAAACTCCGTCTTTGACTGTGTTCCTGCAAGGAGCTGCTGCCAAAGATGCTGAAAAGGCTAAGGATGTGTTATGCCGACTTGAGCACACAACCCTCAAAAAGGTATTTTGAACGTAGATCCACATGTTTTATCTAACCGTTAGCTCATAGGTTGTATCAAATACGGCCATCTATTATGATCCCGATCCAAAGAACACTTGCATCGAGGAAGATGAGGAATGGGTCAGCATTTTTTACGAAATGGCTGATTTTGACCCAAGCAGGGCATCACCATGGGTCCTGCGACTGGAGCTCGATAGGAAAAGGTAACAGATTTATCTTTTATAGTTTTCTAATGCTACTATTCTGCTTTTTAAGGATGACTGATAAGAAGTTGAGCATGGAGCATATTGCCGACAAGATTCAGCAAGGATTTGGAGATGACTTGAATGTCATCTACACCGATGACAATGCAGACAAGCTCGTATTCAGACTGCGCATCACGAATCAGCCCTCCGACAAAAGTGCTGAGGTACTGATTCTGTTCTGTTACACATGGGATATAGTGTCGCAGTTGATAAAGATGCCATGCTAATTTAAGGTCGAACAAATTGATAAGATGGAAGATGATGTATTCCTGCGTTGTATCGAGTCTAATATGCTCTCAGATCTTACTCTGCAAGTAAGTAGATCCGTTATTTTGACATCAAAATATACTGCTTTCCAGGGTATTGGATCGATTTCCAAAGTTTACATGCATAAGCCTACGACGGACGACAAAAAGCGTGTTGTGATCACACCGGAGGGTGGTTTTAAAGCAATCTCCGAATGGCTTCTTGAAACCGACGGAACCGCGCTTTTGAGGGTATGTTATCTGATGTTCATTTTTTATCGAGTCCTAGCTGGATAAGTATTCTCCGACAAAATTGCGAAGAAATATCAGAATGCCTATGCTTATTTATTGTTGTCCACCATGCGCTCTTCTTCAGCTATACAGCGGAGTACCTAGCGCTCTTTCAATGACATTGATAAACTCAGTAGATTCTATTGTAAAGTTGCGCTTATTGTACTTTCTCAGTGTCAAAACTCGCCACTTGTATGCCACGAATGCGCCCGCCTCAATTCGTATAATTATAGACCGGGTTTATTAAAATGTCTATTATATTTCAATGACACCTATTGTATCCTTTCTAGGTTTTGTCGGAGCAGCACATCGATCCTGTACGGACTACGTCAAACGATATATGCGAAATCTTTGAGGTACGTCCCTATTTTTGCAATCATCAGGTCCTTATCGAATCTTTCGGATAGGTGCTGGGAATCGAAGCTGTACGTAAGGCAATTGAGCGTGAGATGAATAATGTCATCTCTTTTGACGGCTCTTATGTCAACTATCGGCATCTTGCTCTCCTTTGTGATGTGATGACGGCTAAAGGTACATCTTAAAGATTCTGCTTACATTCAAGATGATAGTGTTTTTTCAGGTCATCTTATGGCTATCACTCGTCACGGAATTAATAGACAAGAGGTCGGAGCTCTTATGCGTTGTTCATTCGAAGAAACCGTTGATATACTCATGGAAGCGGCTGTGCACGCTGAAGTGGATCCTGTCAAGGGTGGGTTGTCATCAGCTGAATGCTCAGTATATAGACTATCGTTATCATCTGTCATAATTTTTTAACTCTCTTATCTTGTAACTCGCAATCGTGAAATCGTCTACTTCTCAGGTGTTTCCGAGAACATCATGCTTGGGCAACTTGCAAAAGCGGGAACCGGTGCATTTGACCTTGTTCTGGATGCGGAGAAATGCAAGTACGGCATCGAGGTAAATATGATTCCAGATTTTGTCCGTTCGCTTCCTTCGGCTGCACTTTAAATGCTTATTTCCATTCAGGTCTCCACAATGATGGGCATGTATGGAGGAGTAGGACAGTTTGGAGCTGCTCATAGTCCGGCAAGCTCTTCGATGTCCCCAATCCAAACTCCTTGGAATGGAGGAATGACTCCTGGATATGGAGCTGCTTGGTCTCCCATTGGAAGTGGTATGACGCCTGGAGCAGCTGGCTTCTCTCCTTCTGGTCATTCGGAGACGGGTATGTCCCCGGGCTATGGCGGGTGAGTTGATTGTGACTATCATTATCGCAAAATTGTATTTTTGGCATGAAAATTTTTGATTTCAGTGAAGGTGGATGGTCGCCGACGTCCCCTGGCGATCCCCTTGGTGGAATGTCTCCATCAGGGGCAACGCCACGCTATGGTGGTGCTATGTCACCAGGTTATTCTCCTACAAGTCCAAGTGCTTTTGGAGCGCAAAGTCCGAGTTATTCACCGACGAGTCCTCATTACTCGCCGACATCGCCATCATATTCTCCGACATCACCTAGCTATAGTCCGACTAGTCCAAGTAAGACGTTTTTGTTCTCTACTGTGGAGCAGTTCTGTAATATTGTTCAGGTTATTCACCCACCTCTCCATCGTACTCTCCTACATCACCATCCTACTCTCCAACATCTCCAAGTTACAGCCCAACTAGTCCCAGTATGTCTTCCACTTTTTCTGAAAATTTGTATTGTAGTATATCTAACCAGGGCGTATGCATCTTCCTTTGAGAGTTTCTTTATCACTTACACGACCACTTATTCAGGTTACTCCCCAACATCTCCATCGTATTCCCCAACTAGTCCGGGCTATTCACCGAGCAGTCCTAGGTACTCTCCAACATCTCCCACATATAGTCCTACCAGTCCTACGTAAGTGCTTTGGTTGAGCTAGATAGTCCAAATAGTTGTAACATCTATCTTCAGATACTCGCCCACTTCGCCCACTTATTCACCGACCTCACCCACATACAGTCCGACGAGTCCCAGCTATGGTGGCAGCGGATACAGCCCGTCAAGTCCTCGGTAAAACTTTTTCAGAAGATCATCGTACGTTTGTGCACGACATCATCTGCCATCTTTCGTTTAGGTACTCGCCGACATCACCCACTTACTCCCCTACGAGCCCGACATACAGTCCAACGTCGCCCCAGTACAGTCCCAGCAGTCCGCAGGTAAATCCATATATCTGGGTGTCAGTGCATTGCTCACATAGTTGTATAATAACGTTTCACTTGAGTATTCTCCGTCGTCGCCGCAGTATTCTCCGAGTTCTCCAAGACCAGATGCGTCGCCCTCTTACTCTCCATCCTCTCCTCAGTACAGTCCAACATCGCCAGTATACACTCCAAGTAGTCCTCAGGTATGTCATCGTTTGTTGTGGCATAGGTCATTCGCTCACTTGTTCATTGCTTCTCGTTGCAGTATTCTCCGAGTTCACCTCAGTACACTCCATCTGGAAACCCTGCTTCACCAGTGGTCAGTTCTGTAGAGTTCTTCTAAGTGTCAGATAAAAAGCGTTTTTTTTTTCAGTATTCTCCATCATCGCCACAGTACAGTCCCAGTTCTCCTCAGTATAGCCCTAGTTCGCCAAACGTAAGTCATCTTTCATTGCACAGAGCTATACCTCAATGCTAATTTTCCAGTATACTCCTTCTTCTCCATATTCTCCCAACTATGATCCTGACAACTACAGTTAATTTTCACCGTTTTCTGTTTAATTGTTTTGTACAAACATATGCTGTGTTATGCTCGTTGCGTAGTGTAGAAGTTCTTGACTAGGGAAGCTTTTTCTGTAAATTTTGAATGTAAGAAGGTCATAAAAATTGTATAATTATTTGTCTATATATAAAATGCTCGGGTTGGTAGAGTTTTCAGAAAAAAATTGTTTCAGTCGCAGTTGTCGGTAGAGAACCTTTTATTGTATTATTTGTTTTTTTTTCTTCTTTGTAATAAATATAACAGTATTCTGTGCTTACACCTGAAATACACCTTTTCCAGCGGGAGTTCCTTACTGATCCCAGGCTAAGTTCGAATTGAAGAAGACAAATGAAAAATCACGAAAACATCACTACTGTTGCATATTGGTGCTGCCCATAGCTGCTTTCTGTGTCTTTATTTGCATGCTATGGTTGAAGTGGGCTTGAACAGAAAAATGTCGAAAGATCGTCAAACGCTCGTAATTACGGCATGGCGGTCGAAGAGATTTTTTATTGGGAGGGAAAGAATTCTTAAACAAAGAGTGGTGGTGTAGTCACATCTCAGAAGATCTTTTCGGGATGGACTTTTTGTGGGCATGCATCCCCAAAATTTTAAAAGGAGGGGGGGGGGGGGCGTGGAGGCTGCCGCATATCTCTAGACTTTTGGGACGTGTGGGCCAAAAGAAAATTTTCTTACACAGCTAAGACTTTTGGTTTACGCAATTTTTCAAACGTTCTTAGGAAAATGTAAACGGGAAAATAATGAACCCGGGGTGAGATTTGTTAAAGAAAATGACAGCGGCAAGTTCAGCTCCTCTTGATCTTTGTTTTAACTTACAGGATGTTGGTCGAAAGTCGGTGGCAAATCCAAACAAATTGCATACCATTAGATGTAGGCGGGAAGCTCATAACCATTGGAGCTGCCAGGTGGGACGGGGCGTGGGGCGGTCCGCTGGTGATGACGTCGCAGAAGCCGAGGTACAGGACCTCCGGGGCCCTCCAGAAAAATGGAGAAAAGTGGCTTATCTATTAATTTTCTTTTTAATTTCTTTACTTAGTTATCCTCTTACTCGAATGGTCTGAATTTTGTTTTGGACACCAGCTGCAACTCCATGAGAATGTAAGAGGTTTTTCGGACGAATATCTAAGCTGTATGATTTATATTGTTTACTAATATTGATTTACTATTAAGAATGTTGATGGCAAAATCCTGGAGCACGCGATTGAAGGGTTCCTTTCAGGATCACTTAGCCCAATGATGCGTATCCATCCAAATGAACATTTTATTACACTATCCTTGTACGCATCCTTTCTTTCATCCTTTCTTTCATCTTTTCTTTTATTCTTTTCTACCATTTAAAAATGTTAGAGTAGTACTAGCTGGCTTACCCGGCTCCGCTCGGCCCTGTCAAAAACGATAAAGGTTCCATTTCTATCCCTGTACACCTTTACCTGTACCCACTCCTACATGCAATTGCCTATTCCGGCTGTGTTAGTAATCAGTACGCTCACCTACCTTCCTCACCAACCCCCCCCCCCCCAACCCCGTAACTAAAACTTTGCAAAAAAATCAATAAAGTCGATAAAAGTAAGGATAATTCTAAAAACTGATGGCGCTATTCGGCTATCCGGGCCGCAAAATGTTTTTGTGATGGATCTTGCTGAAACTCAGCATATGGGGGTTACTCGAGCCGCTGATGACGAATATTGTAGTCATTTCGCGCGATAGCGCCATTTTGTGGGTTAACGGTGGGTACACGTAAGAAGCTAAAGTCATGGATTTCGCTAAAACTTTGCTTAGGGGGGCTAATTGACATGCTGATTACGAATATCATACTTCTTCGACATTTTGGGGCGTTTTCACTGAGTTGTGGTAGGTATACTGCAGAGGGGCAAAATCTCAGTTTTGGCTGAAGCTCGGTCTAGAGAGGTTCGACCTTCTGACCACGTTTAAAACATTCTCGTTGCGTTTTGAGACCTTTTTGCAGAGTTACGGTACAGGTACATAGTAGCTGGTAAAAATCATGAACCTGCCTGAAACTTTGGCAGGAGGTTACCTAAAGTGCTGTTTCAAGAATATCGTACACAATCCCCACGATAAAGGCAATTCGTGTGTTATAGAAGGTTTCCCACTACCGTAATGCTTTCCTTATAGGAAGGACCAATGCGCGCGCGATACACCCTTTGTCGGTATTTGCCTAAGCAAAGACAGGGGGAGAGATATTTGCCGCGTGCGTTACGCGTTGGGACAGGTTATCAGGATGGCGCTGGAGACCGCCATGCAGAATGATCGCTTCCCCATTTCGTGAATATCTGGGATCTAAATTGGCCCGAAAGCGAAAAAATGTCAATTTAAATCCTGCAACTTACCATAACTTCACTAGCGTTATGACAGCGAGCAAGCATCATATTCATAAGCGATATACTTGTGGACCGTTACAGGTAAGGTTTTGAGCAGATCTGGAACTTCGACCCATGTACTGTACATCCACCGTAAGCCAAGAAAATGCGCTATCCTGCGAAATCAGCATGATATTCACATTCAGCGCGCTAAACACCCTAGACGAAGTTCAGAGCAAATCTATGTTTTCGATCCCATACCGTATAACCACCATAATCCTATGAAAAGGTCCCAATATGCAGAATCAGCATGTCGAATAAGTTTTCTGGACCGAACTCCAGCCGAACATGATTTTGACTTCCTACGTACACCTACCGTAACCACGCGGGGAGACGTTCTGTGGAGAAAGTATGATGTAATCAGCATGTAAGATAATCTTTATACAAGAAGTCTGAGCAAGCTCCACGACAAAAAAATTTTAGGACCCGGATAGCCGAATAGCGCCAAACTAATATTGAATTAACTGACTAATATTACTCGTAATCAGCATGCTCGATCACCCCCCTGTGCAAACTCCCAGCCCCGCATGTCAAACTTTACAAAAAATCGATTGTATCGATAAAAGTAATCGATAATTCTGAAAACTAACATTGTATTCGGATTCTCCATGCTCACTTACCCTCCTGTGCCAAATCCCAGCCCCGTAGGTGAACTCTGCAAAAAATCGATAAAAATCGATGAAATCGATATCCGTCGATGACGAAAAGTAGCCTATGACATCCGCCGGGGCCCGAAGTGTATGTGTGTAAAGTTTGGTCCGGATCGGTTCAAAAATGGAATTTTCTTTTTGAAACATACGTATAGACAGACAGACAGACAAACAGACATTCAGCTTTATATATAGGATAAAGAACTTTTCTCAGTAGTTTCATTACATCTTCGAGGTCTCCTATCTCCGCATACAATTTTAGAGCAAGATTCTAGGATTATTGAACACGCTAAATGAATAATCTGGTCAAGTAGTCAAACAAAATTTTTTTTGATTTCGCACGAAAACAGGTCAAGCGATTTTAACTGATTTCTTGCACGTTTTTGCAGTTCTACGAAATACTGCTTCTCTTGAAAGTACCGTCGTAACAAATTGAACTATTCTTGCATTCCGCACCACGTAACCATGAATACTGATTTTCCACGCAGCTATCTACGATTAGTTATTCTACCCGCGAAAATGACGCAGACTGGCCCCATCTTGTTGTAATTGTTCAATCTTACTCGTCAATGTGAATCATTTAGCTTAATTCGCTTTCTTCAAATGTTAGCTTACTTTGCACATTGAATCTTTACCTCAATTTCACCTTCCTCAAATTGTTTCATATATAAAGGCTCATTTTATCACGTATTTCTGCCTTTCGCCAAGTGCAAATGAACGTTCGTCGGTTACTCTCGTCTTACATCCAAACCTCCGAATCTTTGCGTCTTTCAAACAAGTGGCGACCATGTCATCTCAAACTGACTCCCTTTCCTACCACGAAAGTCCTTTTACCGTCCCTAATGCTTGAAGTGATCTCCTTCCACTGGAGATTGTCGCTCCCTGCGAAGACTCAAAGACTCATTTTCTGCATTACCACTGATCTAGCACCTTCACTCGTCGCGATTTTCCATGTCCGACAGCAGCATAAGTATTCGACGCCAAATCGGATCTTAAAAAAGCAAATCCAACGCCTTTGCTCTGACGCAGCACAGTCACTGACGGACTACAACATCAATATCACTACGCCACAATTTGAAACCTTGAATGAGGACGCGCCTGAGACGTTCGGGCTGGGAATCACTAGTACTCGACCCATTTTTCTCAAATTGTACTTGAAGATCACGAGACTAGATAGAAATGGACGTTACTTCAGAAATCAAACGCTGACGAACAACAGATTTACGACGAATTGTCAAGAAATACGGCTATTACTGTGATACGCTTTGTCAAGCATTCCATATGCGCGAACAGCGGACTCCATGTTTACATAACGAGTGAGCAGGCAAGTGACATCGAATATGACGAAAACGAACTATCAAGACAAGAGAAAAAAATCCACGAAAACCTTTGAAGGATAATGGACTCGTTGGAAAGCTTGTGTATTCTCCATTAGGCGATGTTAACCTGGATACCATTTTCATTATGTTTTATGTGATTGAGTATGTTCATATCCATTAGTAGAAATATACAGTGCTGGACATAATTATAGGGATACTCTAGAAATCGTCGTAATTTTCGTTCTTGTCAGTGAATCTGTCTGAAACTTTGCTGTATGGTGCGCATGTAAGCCTACCATAACTCCTCAGAACGGCTTCCAATCCCGTTGATTCCGAACGGAGAAAAATGGAAAAATTCGAAAAAGCCTGTTTTGCAAGCTGGACATAATTATAAGGACACCTGGCCTTTTTAAACATTGTCGCATTCCTTGACTCCCAAATTTTTTTGTAGAGTTACATCCCAGAATATGAAACTTTTGCAGCACCTAAGACCTGTCATGCTACTCAAGGAAAGATGATCCTTGCATTTTTTGTTTCCAAAGGCATCAGAAGTCAAACTGCGTCAACAAACAGCTGGTTTGAGGAGTTTTCAAGCCCGCGTTTATTTCAAATGACAGTCCTGGAATACACTTAGCCTTTTTGATAGATAAGGTGAAGAGCGCTTTCGTAAACTCCGCGTAATCGCTGATTTTGACGGACAGACTCCAACCTCAACATAGGGTTGTCGCGCTTTTAAACCACAAAACTCACTTTCCGATGTTCATGAAATGATGGACTCGATTTATTATATTGTCTACATGGAGACGCAGCTTTTGCAACAACTTTCAGATTTTTTCTAGTGCTGCAGTTGGCATTTTGGAAATACTTTCCACGAAATTTCTCTGCGAGCA